GTTTCCTTCTCCTACTTCCTGTTTCCAACAGCCAGTCGCATCTGATGCTCAACATCCTCTACTGAGTGCCAAGTGTCACAGGACAGCTACTGCAGAGGAGTAGCTCCCAGCTGCAGCACTGTGACAGTGGTCTACCGATAGTGGGTGAGCACAGACAGATCCGCCTCATGGCTAGGTCAGGAGAAGAGGTGGCACTGTACCTGGGCATCAGCTGGCCCTCCTGCTCTGGGCTCATTTTCTCCTCTGCAATCAGCAGCTCACTCTGGCTGTCTTCCTCCTCTGTCATGGAGGGGTGAGGGCTACTCCCTACAATAGACCAACACACAGCACACTTCGTGACACTGCTCCTTCTCCTAGAGATCCCTTCTGCTCTGCTTCTGCTCTGAAGCCTTCAGCTTCTTTCAAGGATCCCTTCAGCAACACTGGAGGCTACAATTAGTCACTTCTTCATATTGTATCACATACAGGCACAATTCTTCGAATTCCTTTCGCTGTCTGCCCTCAACCACGCCCTCTTTGGTGCCCTGTCATTTGTAGGAGAAAAGCAGTGCCAGAAACCTTTAAGCCTGGTCCATGTTACTCCATCCAATAACAAACCGCTCTCATGCGAAGCTCCACCCTCTCCCTACTCCTTTGTTCATGTTTCCAAAACATCTTACCAGCACTAAGGTCCCCTCCACTACGTCCAACTTCCCCATGCAACAACATGCTCTTAGGGGGCATCTTCGTGTTAAAGGCTGTTTGAATGTTATCCACAAACGTCTTGCAGTGAGGACTATCCACCCAGATGCGCTCCCCGAGGGAATCCTCAATGTAAACCTACAGGAAAGGAAGCAGCAGAGAACACAAACCACGCTCAAGTCTGCTTTGTATAGGTCAATCATGAGATTATTTGCGAGTTTGCCAAGCTTTGATTTGTCTGTTCTCAAAACATAGCCATGAGATAGGAAAGTAGTATCTCCATTGCACAAACTGGAAACTGAGACCACGAGTGCAGCCAAGTCACATAAGACATAAGAGTAGGTAAATAAACATCCCAAGCTCTGCTGGACACCAAACCTATCTCGGAGCACAGCTGGTTTATTTTAGCAAAGATTTTACAACAGCTCTCACTTCCGACATAAAGAAGTTGGCCTGTTAAAAGCTCGCCCCTTTTAAATCAGTAAGTTAAGTGTTCAATCCCTACAAACAATCCAGGAGGTAAGACCTCTCTGGGACGTTGTTATATCAGTACACATTGTCAAGGCAATTTTTAAAAAAAAAAAGACAGCAAAAGGTAAAAGAGGCCACAGCATTTCAACCACGAGTGGAGTTTTTTTTCTTTGAAAAAGTAAAACAAAAACCAAAGACTCTGGCTATTTTCTTCCTTCCCATCCATGCTAAGTGCACTGCACACTCTCTTTCCTTGCAGCAGTGATAAACCCGCTGCTCTTACCCTGCACCCAACACACACATGCTTCCCAGCCCTGGCCTGTTTCACCTCATCTGCCCACCACTGTCTCAGTCCCGCAGAATCACTCTTGGTTCAACAACCTTGACAAAGATCTCTGGCCAGTTCTCGTCCTCCTCGTAAGCGGCCATGAGAAGGTTGCAGGCCAAGACAGACACGAGGCTATTCCCTTTGGCTTTGAAATTAATGGAGGCATCTCTTCGGAGTAGGCTGCACAGTGCCTGCAAGATCACATACAAAAATCAGACCATCTAACAGAAAACTATACAGAAAAGCATTAGAACAAAATATACAAATTGCAGTAATTTGCAAGACACTTCAGATGTTTACAGGCACATACAGGCTATGGAATGGCCTGAGAGCAACTGCAACTACATTCACAGGCTGGCTGAAACCATATCGCCAGTGAGCCTGCGGGCATCTATGTGACATGGCTCTCACCTCAATAACCCCTTCAGTGGCAAATATGTTGGGTTTGATTTTTGCCAGGTACATGAGGCTTAGGTACAGCGTGGTATCGGGTTTGGCTCTGTTCATCTTGAGCTGCTTCACTGCTCCACACAGCACCCCCTCAATACGGTCATCATTGCCTTCTGCCTCTGCTGCCTCAATTTCATCCAGCAGCACGGTGGGGACAACTGCAGTAATCAACACACATTCATTAGTTTCTACACTTATGCAAAATAACCTACCCCCAGATGCCTGAAGGACAAGTCACCTGGAAAGCAAAGCATCGATTTGCTTGTCTTTACCCACTGCAATGACTTTCCCTCCCACCCAAATGCTGTTAAAAATTCTTCATGCCTGAAAACACTCTTATGTTTTTGATTGGTACCTACCAGAATATTCCTCTGCAAATATGTCCAACACCAGGAAATAGAAAAAGACTTGAGAAAACAAACACACAGATATGCAAACGCTGCTAAAAAATATTGATATAAAACTGCATTCAAAGATTTCCTATAAAAGGTCTTTCAAATGCTATTAGGCAGCTATGAGACAAGAGCACAACAATCCGTACAAACAGGAAAAGAAAGGACAGAAAGTTGTGTCTTTGATCCTACGCCCAGCAGGGCAAGGGCTAGAGCTGCTAAAAAAAGAAAAAAAAAAAGGTGAATCCCAGCACAAGAAAATCAGAGTGGGAAGTGCCCACACAGGCTGCACGCTCACATATCGTAAGCGCAATATATTTTGCTGAAAACATATTAAATTAACTCTCCAGGAACATAACGGGGAAGTCTTTGGAAATCCTTAGGGCTGCCACATAAACGGCAGCGTAAAGGCAGAGGAGGACAGCCAGGCTCAAACACTGTCTGAGGAAACTAAGCGTTGAGCCAGGCTTGCCTCCTCTCTCCAACCACCGGCTGCCCCGCCAGCCCCCGGAGAACCAGACCAGGGCCTCACCTTCAATCGGGATGACGGAGGGCTCCTTGATGGAGGGCGAAATGGCTCGCTTTTCTGCCACGGCCGCCTCCGCCAGGCGCCCCAGGGCGCTCAGCGGGGGCGTGGAGGAGAGCTTGGGCCGCTTGGTGAGGCCGGTGAGCCCGGCGGGGGC